ATATAGATTTAACTAAATAATACCTTTTACAACTAAGTCCTAATATAACTTTCTTAATTATAATAGTGGGCTTCCGTCAAAAAATTTCTCTATTATTGGTATTTTGAAAGTCTTACAAAAATCATATGATTGATTATGCATAATAAATTGTTCACTAAGTATAATTTTACTAATTCAAATTGGTCTCACGATATTAATTGTTTTGTTTGCAATGATAACGAAAAATCTGTTGTACATCTATTTGTTTGGATTTTTTTTTTTTTTTTTTGCTTTTCTGCCAATAAAGTTTGAGCTTTTTCTTAAACAATAAAAATTATTTATTCCAAATTTGATTATGATGACTGGCACGCTGAGATGAATAACTTGTTCCGTTCTGGGAAACATCTGCAAAGAAAGAAATGGTATAGTTTTTCAATTAAAAATTGTTCAATTGTCACCGAGAAGTCAGAAGGTCACGCATCTTGAAGTGATACAATGAAGATGAAACAAGAATTGCTTGTACAAAATTAATAAATTGTGAACTTGGCGTAGTTAAACATAAACAAATGCATTGTCAAGATAGATCTTTAGAAAATTAGCAATAGGAGACTTGCAAAATTACATCAACAAATAAATAAGTAGAGCAAATGGCGCGTTAACAAAATTCACAGTTTAAGATCTAGATCATTCACCTCGGGATCCCTCACTTACACTCTTGATATCGCTCGGCTTAGCGGGGGAAGATTGCAAACAAGCTTAGGGATGCCACTAGTAGACACGTGATGCCAAGGGGGCTAGTCGTCGAGGAAGGAGCCAGCGGTGGAGGAGGCAAGGATCGTCCGACGAGGAACCACGATGTACTTGGTCGTTGAAGTTCGATAGTCTTGGAGAGGCAGTGAATGATATGGTTGATGTAGCTTTCTACCATGCCGTCGTACTCCCAATCCGGCTGATAGAATGGAGAGAGTAGGATGTCGATCTCGCCTTGTGCGTTGTAAGCAAAGCCGTGGTCGATCTCAGGATCGGCCATACATGATCATGGAAGGATCGTGGCGTAGTGGTGGTGTTATGGTGGAGGAGCCGTCGCCTAGGAGAGGCGGCCAAGAGGAGAGGAGGGGAAGATGGGGATTCTCGGATAGGAGGTGGAGAGGGGAGGGGCGGCTAGGTTTATGTTGGATTAGGAGGATCAATAGAAATCTGAAATTAATTTTCAGATTAAGTGAAATTGGAGGGAAGACATTGACTTTGGATTCAAATTCAAATTGAAAGAAATAAAGTGGAAGAGAGGAATTGTGGGAGATAATTAGGGAGTCTTAACTGAGACCAATTAATGAAAATTGGAGAGAGAAAAGCATGGGGAAGGGGGTCGGCCATGTAGAAAAGGGAGAGAGGGAGCTTTAAGTTAAGTATGTGAGCCCCAAAGGATTTAATATGGATTTAATCAAATCTGAATTTAATCTCAGATTTAATTAAATTGGGGGTTTCCTTTCTTAGATTTAAGCAATAGGAAAGTATTTGAAAATCCAATCAATTGATTGAATTCTCATTAAGATGATTTCCTAATTACCAAATTCTTATTTTGGAAAGTAAGTAATGGGTTTTGAAATTTGAATTTCAAATTTATGAATCCAAGGGAGGGGTCGGCGGCTAGGCGTGTGGAGAGGGGAGGATGGGGGAGGGAGGCCGGCGGTTGGGTGGGTGGTGGCAGGCGGCTTGGGCGGCCCAAGGAGGCCGGCGGCAAGGGGAGGGGCTCGATTTAGGGAAAAAAAAAAGGTTTGAGGGTGGTGAGGCCGGCGGGTGGGAGGTTTAGGAGAGGGAATTAGATGCAAGGGAAGAAAAAGAGATTGAAGGACCGCGAACCTTGCAATCCACCAAAGGTTGACGGGTATTGATTTCACCCTCCTTGGGTCTCTCCTCTCAAGAAATCACTAAAAGATCAATCAAAGAAAACTAAAATTTCATTTCATAATTCATCCTCTATTACAATGCAAGAGGCCTCCCATAAATAGGCCAAAATGGAAGAAAACCAGAAAGACACAAATGCCCTCGAGGCTACAATAGCAACTCAATACCCACAAGGGTAAACTAGGAAAAATAGAAAATGCAAGAACAAATAAAATACAAGATATATCAAAAGTGAAGACTCTGGATTGTAGCCGTCAATCTCCGACTCCGTGTCGAAATCTGATGTCCTCAGCACATCTCCTCTATGTTGATGATGTGCTTATATTTGCTCAAGCAACAATAAATTTAGCAAGATTATTGAAGGCAATTGTTGTGAACTTTTGTGGATGGACGGGACAAGGGCAAATATCAACAAATCTCAAATCATATTTGGTAAAGCTGTGAAACGATCCATTAAAAATAAAGTTGCTAGAAGATTGGGCTTTAAAGTTGTAAAGGAAATGCAATATTTTGGAATTAAAATCAGTTTGAAGAGATTGGGGATGGTAGATTTCCAAGAGATGTTAAATCATGTATTGGAAGGCTTAATGCTTGGGGGAATAAGCTTTTGTCTATGGCAGGGAGAATTACTCTTGCTAAATCTTCTTTGTTATCATTACCAAATTTTTTGATAACACACTCTTTGGTGCCCAAGAGACTATTGCATGAGTTGGATAAAGTTTGTAGGGATTTCATTTGGCACAAACCAAATGAGAAAAAAGGAATGCATTATGTAGCTTGGGAGGATATATGTAAACCGAGAAGTGTTGGAGGATTGGGAGTACATTCGGCTGGTCTTAGAGTTGGCCCACTAAGAGGAAGGTTGGCGTGGAATTTCATCCAAAATCCAAATTCCTTACTTCATAGGAATATGATAGCAAAGTATGGTGATAACATTTTGAAGGGAGAATGCAAGAAAGGTGCTTCAAGTGCATGGCAAATTATAGTAGATGATGGTAAACATCTTAAACCCATTGTTAAATGGAAAGTGGGGAATGGTAATAGAATCAGTATTGTGAATAACATTTGGCTTCTTAATAAATGCTTTAATATGTGGCCAACCTTTGCTAACTTTGGGGGACTGGAGGGGGTGATGCTTCACTAATTCATATCCAGTGATGGTAGATGTAATGTGCTAGAGCTTCAAAGATATTTCCATATTGAACTCATTAAGTTGATTTTGCAGATCCCTGTTATTTCAACCATGGATGATGATCAAGTTGAACCTATGTTCCAGCATTCGGGTAGATCCATCTCTACTATGGCGTATGAAGAAGTGATGAATGGTAGAGTCAAAGAGGACGATTGTGGATATTATAATGGCTAATAAATTTGAAACTCAATCCAAGAGTGGAATTGTTTGGTGGAGGTTAAGTAAGCAAGCTATTCCAATAAATCAATTCCTTAAATATAGAAGACTCTGTTATGCTGACTCATGTGCTAGAGGGTGCAAAGAAGTAGAAAGTTATGCTCACACTGTGGTTCACTGTAGATATATCACTGATACTATTCTAAATCTTAGAGATTGGGGCTTTAGTATTCCAATTTTTCAGTCTTTGGAAAGCTATTTGGAAGAACTTAGAAGGCTCTCATCTCGGTATTCTAACATAGTAAAGATGTATTGTGCAACGGTTTTCTTATCCTGGAAAAATCATAATGAAGTGAAGCATGGTAAGCCTGCTCTTTCAAGTTCGGTGGTTGCAGCCAATGTCCTGTTTATAGCTATGATACAATCAAATCCAACGCAAGATAACTGGGGTGTTAATCTCCTTAGGGAGTTCCACAATGCTTGGCACCCTCCACCGCTAGATTGGATTAAAATTAATGTGGATGCTTCGGTTTTGAGTTCTAATCTAGCTGGAATTGGAGGAGTTTTTAGAGACCATAAAGAAAGACTTCTTCTTGCATTTGGGAAGAAAAAAATTCATTGTGATGTGGCACAACTCGAGGTGGAGGCGGTGTTAGCAATAAGGGAGTTTATTCAAAGTTGGATGATGGATAGCAAAGGTGTGATTATTTAAGGTGATAACCTCAACATTAACAATTTCATACAAGATTCAATGAATAAGTCAAAATGGCAGCTGGAAAATTTTGGTGGCAAAGGACCAATTTTTTCTAAATGATTTCAATAAGGACATTTTTCATCATTTTAATAGAGATTGTAACAAAGTAGCGGATTTATGTGCTACTTTGGCTTTAGAAAATAGTTTTTTGTTTGATAGTTTTTTTTTTTTTTTTTCAGCATTCTTTCTTTGCTTGGTTTGTTAAAGAAGGAATGTGATCCTTTTATTGCTTGTAATTAGTTTCTTTATCTAATGCAACTTGAAACTTTCAAAAAATAAATTAAAAATGGTTCTCATTTTATTTGCTACCAATTTGCTCGACAATTTTAGTTTTAGTCAGAATTTGTTTGGTGAAAGCAAGCAAAAGCATGAAAGTAGAACCGTCAGGTCAAGCATCCTAAACCCATTATGGCATTATCCTTCTTGTACCTATTGTGACCTTTTAAATACAATAAAAGCATAGGACCCAAATAATAATAGCTCTGAAAACTTTTCCTGGTTAGATTATATTGACATACATGATCAAGAAGATAACAGTGATCGATCAAATTGAGCCTTTAATTAGAATAGATCCTGGACCCTTGCAAGCTCTATTATTTATGATCTTTCTATTTGATATTCTTTTATCACTTCCATGCTCTGATTTTTCAAAAGATGATCAAACTAAATTCCAAGTTAACCGTACCTACTAGAGAAAAACAAAAGGCATTAATCTTGTAATCGAATGTCTAACATCAAAACCTAATTCCATAACAATTAATGTTCTGAAAATTCTATTAAAATTGCACCAGGACATAGCACCTTAATGTGCAATTTAACTTTGAAACCACCCTCCAATGCACCAAATAAAATTTACAATTTTCACTGGCAATTTCAATGACGAATGAGTAATATAAACATGAAAGTTACTTTCAAACATAAGGCAATCTCCATTGATCGAATATAATTCTCTTGAACAATGAAGTAAAGGAAAAATGACATTAAAAGACAAAATCTAACATTATTACAACTTACCTTTCGGATCCATAAATTCAAAATTCTTGGATTCAACGTGGTTGCAACCAATGATCATGATTCCAAGAAAAATAAGGGCAGCTTTGGAACCCATAATCTCTGCCATAAAACCAACAATTAACTAGCTTGTCATTTTGGTTAAGCTACCATAGTACATTTCACCGTTATTGCAATGAGAAAATTTGAGAAAAGAATGAGTCAACGTGTTTCCCTAAAGAAGGCATGCTAAAAAGGTCATAAATCCTATTTGAGTATTACAAAGTTTCTGATCATTAATAATTCATATAAATAAACCAGTAAAAAAAAGGTGTAAAGTACGTTAAGATAAAGGTCTCTTTTGTTCTTGACATCACATGCACCCTTTCTTACACATCTTTAAGGGAAGAAATTCTTCCAAAATAAAAATAATCATCATCAGCAGCTTTATTCCAACTATTTGGGATCAATTTAATGAATTATCATTTTTCAATCATTCCTATTGAAAATTAGTACGGTAAACCTATTTTTTGCAAGACAATTTGAACTTCTAACTATGTTGTGTTAGGTCTATACATTTTCCTTCATAATTCTTTACAATAAGTTTATCTACCAGTCTAATTAGTGCACTTTCAACCTTTCGTTATGAACATCTAAATTAAGCCTATTTTCACCTACCTTATCTTCAATAGATGATGTTTCTCTAATATAATCAATACTTAATTCATTCTTTCTTGCTTTTGCAAAACATCTTTCTTACCATTTTAGCTTCCATTATGCTCAACTTTTTAACTATCCAACACTTGGATCCATACAACATAATTCATTTAATTTTAGTTTTATAACTGATTTTATTTTAGTTCTATAAAATTTCATTTTAAAGTCTTCATTCTATCATCATATCACAGAGTACTCAAGAGATGCTTCTCCATTTAACCATCAAGCCTCTACTTAAGATACTTTATCATCATCCACATCCACATTTTTCTATATGATAAATTCAAAATACTTAAATCCATCATACCGAGATATTACTTTATCACCTAATAACATTGGCTAATAGTTAAGAATATCGTGCTAATTAAAATAGCATATCATATACTAAACCTTTAATATACTAGTCCTAGTCCTCGAGATAAAATCATACCTCCCCTTCTAAAGGTACAAGGCAATGAACCGGGCCACCCAATGGATGGTAAATTATAATCCCTTTGCCTTCTAAACATCTTCCCATCCTAAGAATTTTTTTACTTATTTTAACAGATGTCTCAAAAAGTATGCCATCTATAATAAGGATACACCAAAATACCTCAATTTGAATATCCTTTATAAAACCTCAATTTGATTATCCTTTATAAACATCTCCATAACCAATACATAAATATGGACTTAAAAATTATCCTTAATGTAATATTACCATAAAGAAAACTCTTATAGATAACTCAACAACTACTTTTTAGGCTGACTACTAGTCAGTATTCTATCATAAATATGAATAAATATCTTTAATAATTTTAACGTACCATTGACATGCCTTTCTTCCTTAATGTATTATAAATGAATTTTTGTGATACTCAAGTATATGTATTTTAAAAATTAATAAAACTAATAAAAAAAAAACAAAAAAATCATTTCTCTTCCATTTATTAACTTTCTTCTAACTTCATTGTACAACTCATAAGTTTGGTTCACTTATAATTACCATAATCTTGAACATCTTCTTTTCTCTTAAACATTGGTGTCAAAATACTTTTTCTCAATCATTTGGTAAACTCATGATCTTCAATTTTTCATAAAAAAGAATTTTTAAACAAGTTACTGCAATAACCAACATAAATCTTCAAATCTCAATAAATATGTTATTTGAACAGAAGTTTTACCATCATGCATATTCCTTAGAGCCAACTCCACTTACCAATATATAATACACATCATCATTTTGTTTATTACACTAATCTAAAGTGTTTTCTACCTTAAAACTCCTATTAATCATTTTCCAAAGTATTTTAATCTTTCCTTGATGTTTTTATATAATTAAGCTTTTAATATTTAGCTTAATATATGTATAAACTCAAAGTCTCTAGAGCTCTTATCTCTTGCCTCAACTATTTATTTATATCCTTTTCTCCTTCATAGTGCCAATCTTACTGTATAAATCATTAAGTGTAGTTTTTTTTTCTTTACTTATTCTCATCTTTAAAAAACTTCTAGCATTTTATAGTCAGTATATGCAGCAATAGTTGTCATTCTTTAAAAGAACATTTATGTTCCTTGATAAATTTTGGTATCTCCTCACTCCACAAATAAATCTCATTACCAATACACCATTTATTTCTAGACTCTCTTATAACTTTATGATAACTTTTTTAATGGAGTAATAATCTTATCCAATGTTAGATATGCCTCGACTATAGAAATATTCTCCTCTAAGGTGTCATCTAACATGAAGGTAAATGTGTGCATTGCAACTCTCGTCAAATCTACCCACATCAATTCTCCTCTAAAGGTGTCAAAAATAAACTCCTCTAAATCTAATGTTACCCTCAAAATATTGGGGAATTTCCTCCCTATTTTCTCACACATGCATTGTTTGTTCCATGGGAGGAGTTTTCTTCAATCTTTCTGCCTAAGAGGTGAAATGAATCTATAGAACCTAAGTCAGAAAGAGTTGAGACCAGTTGTTAAAGTATGACTATATAGGCACACACTAAGCCAAGTGTTAGACCGGTCCAACTGGCCCAGCCCCTTGGGCCGGTTCAATTCGTTTACAGCAGGAGGGGGCCAGCGGCATCTAGGAGAGAAGAAGGGGTGGGGTCCACTTGATATTCAAATTCAATTTTGGCAATTAGGTCCTTTTGTATTAATTTTGAATTTCATGCATTAAGGGGGAAAAGCTAGGGTTAGAGTTATGTGAAATTTTCTGAAACTTCTCTTGGGTTTTCTTTTGTGGCTAGGGCTCTAGATTGTTTTCTAGAGATTGGGAGAGTGAGATCCTCCTCTCGAATAGAGGATCTATTGTATCTTCGCTGTTTTTCTTGCATCTATCATTAAAATCAACTATTAGGGTGTGATTTCTCCCTCGTTTCTCTCTGTTTTCTCTGTTTTCTCTGTTTTTCCACTGTTGGTGGTTGTTTTCCTGCTGTAAACAGCTGTTTTATTGTTGTTTTTCTACTGATTTATATATGCCTCCTCTCCCTCTGACATCCCCAAAATTTCTAGATGACGAGTTATCATCAAATTCTTTTTTGTTCAAGAATTGATCTTTTTTTTTTCTAATGGGCATCTTAAGGAGGCACCAAATAATGATGTTAAACTTGGACAACCTAGAAAGTTTTGTCAAAATTAACTTTAAGATAATTCGAAGGGTCAAGGCCAACAAGAAGAGATTGAGAGAGATAACACGAGAAAGTGTGAGAGAGTATGACAGTGAATAAGAGCAACACACTTAATGGAGAAATCTTATACTAGTATTTTAATTAGTTGAATGGTTATATTCATAGCACTTGCCTATAGGTGTTTTGTTGCTACTCATAGATCTCTTTATGGCTACAAAACAAGATAAATGACAATAAAAAGCCCTCTCTAAAATATTATAAGAGGCATTTGTGTAGGTTTTTGAGTTTCACAATAAGAAAATGCCTTTCGCTCACAAGGGCTTTGGATGCTTCTCCCCATAGCCTCTTTCAGTGCTACACCTCTTTGCTGGTTAAAAAATGAAAAAAAAAGTAGGAGGCAAACTTGTTCGTTGCCCATTATAGACGTGCCAAGAAGAGGTAGTCATGTGGCACAAACTGAATCACTAGGACGAAGAATTGGTTGTTGACAACTATAGTTGTTAGGAAGGACTGATTGTTACAGTTGTTCTCTAAAGATGCATCCTTAGACATGACATATGTCAACTACTAGTTGACTTATCGATATTGCCCAGGTAAAATGGTCTGTCGGAATAGTCAATAGGTTACAAGCAAGACAATTGCTGCATAGTAAGAAGTGGCTAAAAGATAAATAGACAGTCTGCCAAAAGTAACCTAAGCTATGTTGCTCAGCATTGGATAGTCCATCAGTCCCCTTGATATCATCTCTTCATCTTCCTAGGTTCTAACCACAAAATCCTTGGCTACTATTTTTTGTGCTCTTTAAGACTTCAATGTCAGGATGCATCAATATCCAACCTCCTCGGACAAGTTTTGTAGGACCAAAACTAGCTGCAACTCATCTAATGAATGTGATCCCAAGATTGACATGTGGGTAAACCAAGATGGCGTCAATGCGCCTTGAAAAATGGGCCAAATTTACAACTCAAATCTATCCTTTCAATCTCATTTGTTATGCTAAATTTGATTGCAAGTGACTACTCATGTCTATCATGATGCCTAGTCATAAGAATATATAGTCCTTTATGATAGCTATATCACTTAGGTTCCTGTACAATTACTTGATCAAAATTCCATAATTACAATTATACAATTAACAACACAAAAAATCACTCTTCTAATTTTTTATCAAAATATACAAGCACAGCAACTAGAATCATCGTTAATATAAAATTTTTCATAAATTCCCCACGGTAATTTAAAGTACAGTTTTATGCCTTCAGTCAGCAATCATGACAAAAACTTCAGGGTTCTTTTTGTGTTTTTTGTGCACTTACCTTAAGTATGAAGCATGAAGTTCAATAAACAGCGCATGTGATCAAATCAAAGTGAATGAAATTGAATAAAATTCTTGCAACCACCGGCAGTCCCGGATAATGACACAATTCAGCACTTTGACTCAAGTTCTTTTTTTTCAGACAACAAAATAATATCTCAAATATTTTATTGATAATAAATGCAGTTAACTAAGACCAGCTTAAGCTAGTTAAACTAAATAGGGTTGAAAATGGACTATAAACTGTGACTTCTACCATGAAATCAGTGAGCATACCACTTGGACTAAGCCCTTCTGTAGCAGTTGCTTTATAAACAAGGCATAAGTTTAATAATAAACGGAGCATGCGAACTGACCAAGGGCGGAACTCCTGTACTGCTATCGTGGGCCAATAGCCGCCCCCCACACCCCCCCCCCCAAATAGCCCCCCCCCCCCCCCCCCCCCCCAACCCAAAACAAAATTAGAACTATCGTTATAATAAGGGTTAATTGGTAATTTTCCCATCCTATATCTTAACTTTGCCCCCATCCAATCTTTTTTCACTCTATTTTCCCCTTCGAAAATCGAAAAGCTCGTTTGGCCTCACACTATTATAATGAATCACAACTTCACAAGCCCTAATTTCTTTTTCTCTCCCTTGTCCATTCCGCCTACAATGCTCGACTCGTCCACTCTAGTCTCCAGTGCTTGAATTCTACTATGAGGATGAAGCTCGACCGTCAGAGCTAGCGCCGCTCGACCACTCCAATAACTCCGCTTTGGTATGCCTGCTTAGCTCAAGTATGCCTGCTCCGGCTCAGCTCTTTTTGGTTCAAATGAATCTGTTTTTCTTGTATATTTGATAGTCTAGAAAGAAAAACAAATTTGATAGAATTCGGATGACTGTAGATGAAAAGTTGCTAACACTTTTTATTTTCAACTCCATTCTCTCCACTTTGTACAGGTAAAGTGTATTTTTGTTTGCTTCCAAACACATAGGTTAAGTTTTTAAGTAGTAAGTCACAATTGCACTTCATTATTTTAATGTTAAAAGGAGGTAAGCTAAGTTATGGAATTAGCCTATTCTACATTTGAGACGGGGGGCATGAGTTCATTTTTTTTTAAATACATGATTCCATTCACTATAATAGTCAATAGTTTAACATTTGTGTTGTTTTAATTGTCTTGATTCATCATCAATGCTCACTTTCACTTATATCTCACAATAAAATAAATGATCAATAGAAAATTTGAAATAGCTACATTCAATATCTTTAATTTGATCAAAAAATATATATATTTTGATTCGAGATCGAGTCAAAGCAAACTCGAGCATTCAGTTATTTTTCATTTTTTTACTCGTTAATCATGCCTCGAAGAATCCAACTCCCTCCAAATACATGTATATACAAATCAATATTCATAGAGGCACATAACATACATTTGTAAATATAATAATGAAATGATTTTGATGTGATTTTTTTTATTAACGGGTTATATTCCTTGGTTTTAAATTTCTTTCTAAGATATAATAAATGGAACGTTATTTAAAGAGGAAAGAACGTGCGGAGATTGATATTAATAATCTCCCAGTTGATCACCTACAATTTAGAATTATGATGCAAATGCTATAGATAAAATTCAAAGAGCGTATCTATTGAAAGGACCCCTTCAACCACAAATTTGAATTTTGTCTTATAAATTTTTTTATTTTTTTATAAGTTTGACCCTCTATAAGAACTAAGGCTAGTTCCGCCCCAAATCAGACTACAGAAATTTAAATGAAAACTAATAAAATTCTGCTGTCCAATCGTTAGGCTTGCGTATTTGCAGCTACTGAATTTACATTTCCAACAATTCCTGTAATTTAGAACAGTTTTGCTTGCAACAGCTCATACTAATTCCACGCAGAAAAGTACAAACAGCAGAGCATTCAGCAGGTGAAATCTAAACTATATAGAAAATATAATACACCACAACCAAAACGCCATAAATTGACAGAAAATCCCCAAAGTCCAAACCGCGAAGCAATTAATCGAAATCCACGGTTCATAAAAGAACTAGCGAAAGAGAAGAGAGCATTAGAAGAAGATAAAATCGAAAAAGAAAGTTGCAGCAATTACCCAGTTATTGTTTTAGGTCAAGGAGGAGAGAAGGACCACAGAAGAGCCAAGAAACAAACCTGATTTTGCTCACAGCTCTGGCCTGGGCTCCGTCCCCTGGACGCCTGAGACCACGGATCCCTCGTTAAATATGTGCGTCAAATTCATTTTTTAGATTAGCGATAATTTTTTCTTCTCATAAGTTAGCTATCACGATATTTTCCAATAAATCTTTAAATATTAATTATAAATCTTATCAGAAATGGGTGTTCCCTATGGAGTTGCGTACTAAACCGGCACGACTAGCTAACCTCTAACTAACCTCATGTATTCTGCATGGTAGGAAAAATAAATAAATATTATAATTATTATAAATTCAAATTCATTATATGGGTTATTATGATAAGATTTATAAATTAGTTATTATGATAAGATGATAAATTATTTATATTTATAATGAATTAAAAATAAATTATTTAATTAATTAAAAAAGTATTATTTCAATTGTACATTTAATGCATTTGGTTCAGGTTGATTAAGTTGTCATATTAAAATGAATTGAATTATGCAATTTAGTCATTTTTTAGGGGAAATCAACTAAGGGGCCTACACATTAATTAAGGCAAAATTGTACACAGTCCTTAAGGGGACCTCAAGCTCGCTACTGCTCAAAGAGCTACAAAAATAAACAAAAGAAAACCCTAGGAGCTCGAGTTCCCCACTAAAAAGTAGTACAAGAAAACCTTAGAACATGCTATGGAACTTAAGAGAAAGCACCTAAAAAAGAGGAGCTAACAAAAAATAATAGCCAAAATGCTCCCAATAACCAAACCTCATGGCAACCTTGCAATCAATCATCCAAAAAATAACCTGCAAAAAAGACTGATAGGCAAGAAGGATATAGCAGTAATATGGCCTAAACAATAAATAGGGGCGGCCCAAAAGAAAAATAGCAAGAATAATAGTATAAATATCAAAGGAATAGAGAAAGCCAAAATAACCTCCTTATTAGGCTCCAACAAAGTAGCAGAATAGAGAAAGTAAGCAGCAAAACAATAACAAAACAATGCTAAACTAACAAAATACTGGAAGAACCAACTACCAAAGTCCAACTCCACCCAAAAAGGATACAGCCAAAAGAAGTCACCAATACTCCCACAAAAAGGCCATACAAGGCAAACAATAACAATAAGATAAAGTTAGCCCAAGAAGAAACCTGGGACAGTAGGCAACAACAGACCGATAACAGCCCCAACCTGCACCCTAGAAAAAAGCCCAAGCAGAGGCACATAAAAACCTGGCAAGAGCTTAAGAAAACCCAACCAAACCACATTGTCAACCAACAGAAACCACCACAACCTACACCCCACAAGAAGCAGAGGCATAAAATGACCCTACAATGGCTGAAAAACATCTAACCAAACCAACTGGAAATACAATAGTAGGAAACAGAAGACCCAGCAGTAGAAAACCGAACCAGAAGAACACCACCAGAACTGACCCAAAGAGGGCTGGAACCAACAATGCAAGAAAAATAACAAAACTAAGACTCAAACCAACCGATACAAGAGGCCCCCACGAAAAACCACCAACCCACATCAGTGAAAGATGGGAACCCCAAGGCCACCAAAAAATAAAAGAACCAACAAAATTAAAGCTTAATATAGGGTAAAGCAATTTGATCCAACCTAAAGAGACCTTTAACCAAAAAGGCAATTAAGCTAAGGAAAATTCAGTCAAAACATTGAAATTACAACCCAAATTTTCCATGGCTTGCACACATGCATTCCCCTCAGCCAAAATGGTAGAAAAGGTGCAGTTAAGAGAGGTCAAGATCTCCCTTATGTCCCTCCGAATGTAAAACAGTCCAGAAGAGAAAATGCTCTCATCATTAACATGAATTAAATTGAAATCAAAGCGCATCCCAATCTCTAGAACAGTATTAATATGAGAAAGGTTAGCATAGAGACTTAGACCATGAAGCATAGCAAAGTAAAAAAGCAAAATTGATATCACCATTAGTTACAGGCCTAACAAAGCCTAAATGAAAGTGTCATTATGATCTCTAATCGGGCCACTACAACCAATAGTATCACCCAATTTAGCATAAGCCACATTTAACTTAACAAAGTTAGGGGGAGTGTGAAACCCCAAGATCTAACTTGGAAGAATTATCCAGTCAAACCTTTAAGTCAATCTTCTACCAGAGCTAACTATAGTCATCAATAAGTAGTAAACAGTCTAACAAAATCTATAATTTAAAACATCATGTACATATTTCTATTCATTCCCAAAAGTTCATTTACAATACTCAGGATCCACACATTAATCACATATAATCCATCCTGTCCTGAGTACAAAAAGAATCACTATAACAAAAGGATATAAACCTGAAGATTCCTAATAAACCTCAATCTCCTGCTCCCTTGCCCTGACCTGAAAATATTAACCACATATAATGAAAAGCCCAGCAGGTCACCAAATACCTATAACTGAAATCAAAGCACGGTACGGAAGCAATATGCATGTCAATCAGACATATCATAACAGTCACGTACACATGATTATTTGAAATCAATGTAGAATCAGAAATCAATATGTAAGCAATAATCAGTACAATAACAGAAATCAATACAGGAACGTGTGAAGCTATCACTATCAGTGGAAGAATCAATGAACGGTATAAAAGTTTGTAAAGCCTAATGAATCAATACGTGCGTCAAATCTCTACAGTAGTAGTCGTATCAATAACGCCAATCAATTCAGTATAGTAGACAAATCTTCATGTCTAAAATTTCAGTTAAATTGTTATAGAAATCTTCATATTGATAATATCAATCAAATCAGTCAATAACATCAATCGTATAAAACGAATTCATTGGTTCAATAATATCAGTCAGTATAAAATGTCAAATCAATACTATCGTTCATGACTGTTGAAATCAAATCAATACCGTAGAATCATATCAAGATATACACTTGCAATTCAGTTATGTCAGTACAGTGAATCAGTAGTAGCAGTGCCTGTATCAGTATCAGTAACAATCCAGTAACATGAACAGTTCAGTATTAGTAAATGCGTCAGTATCAGTAAATTCGTATAGTAACAGTAACAATACTGCTAAACATGAAGATTATACCAAAGTAATCTTAAGAATAAGCTGAATAATGAAGTTAGGGAGAACAACAGAAAGCTTCTCCAAATCCCAGCCATAATTAGAAAAGAAATAGTTAACCTTCACCTTAGCAATAGAAAAAAGAATTTAATAAAGAATCAATCAATTGGCCATTCAACCACCAATCCTGCCAAAATAAAATATTGTCAATACCAAGACCCTACACTAAAGACGGCTCCACCAACCATTTTACTGAACAGACCACTGCCATGCTTTAGAGTAGCCTTTAGAAAGATACACATGGAAAGATGTCTCCCCCCACAATGCTTAGCCAGCATAAAATAAGCCCAAAGACTATCATTGGAATGAAGATTATACCAAAGTTTGCAGGAAAAAGTATAAGCCAAATCAAACATAGTTTTATAACCTAAAGCTCCTTCTTGAAAAGTCCCACAACATTTACTCCACAAAGACCAATGAATCTTAGAATTATTCCCAGTACCTTTCCAAAAAAATTATTAAAAATTCTATCAATTCTCTGGCACCCATTCTTAGTAGGAAAAAGGGTTTGAAAAGTATAAACAAGAATAGATCAAAGAACACTTTTAATAAGAATGAGACGGCCACCAAAGCTTTAAGAAGTTAGAATCACAGGAAGATAATTTATTCTGAACCACAAAAATTAAATCATCAAAAAAGAAAGACTTATTTCTGCCTTTATAGAGAGGAATACCTAGATATTTTAAAGGAAAAATGCCTTGAGTAAAATCAGTAAGATTCTTAATATCCATGACATGATCAGAAGAAATATTTTTAGCAACAATAAAAGAACACTTATGTTTATTAAAGGTTAGACCACTAACCAATTCAAACTGATAAAAAAAGCTCAAAATTTTATCAATCCTATTCAATGAAGCATTCGAAAACACAATGAAATCATCAGCAAAGCATAAGTGAGAAATTTTAATACCTCCTAAAGTTCTGAAAAAGAGACTAAGACATTTATTAAAAAGATCAGCAAGGCCCCTAGAAAGATAATTTGCAGCAATAATAAAGAGAGAAGGGGAAATAGGATCCCCTTGCCTAAGGCCATTAGAATCCCTAAAGAAACCATGGCTCTTACCATTAATAATAATGGAGAAAAAAGGGACTTTCAATACAGGACTTGATGAGATTAATGATGTTATAATCAAAATCTAATAAACTCAAGATATTATAAATAAAATTACAGTTAATATTATCATAAGCATTAGCAATATCCAGTTTCATAATCATGTTACCTCTAACCTTGACATCCAAATCTTGACAAAATTCCTAAGCCAAAAGGATATTATCAGCAATGACATGACCTTTAATAAAACCCATTTAAAAGGGAGATATAAGCTTGGGAAATAAAATAGTTTATCGGTTCATCAAGATTTTAGAAAGAAATTTATAAAAAATAGTACACAAACTAATAGGTCTAAAGTCATTCCAAAAATTCACAGCATTATTCTTGGGAATAAGCACAATAGAAATAGAAGAAAAAAACTTCAAAATAGGAATACCATTAAATAAATCAGTAACAACAAGGAAAATATCGTTGAAAATAATATACCATGTTTTTTGAAAGAACTTAGTAGTAAAGCCATTCTGGCTAGCTACAGAATCTACATTCATACCAAATAAAGTATCTTTAATCTCATCAATGGTAGGAGAGTTAGATAAACCACAATTTTCCTCGTGAGAAACACTATTAAGACTAATGGATGGGTTAGCAAACATAGCAGGGTTAAAAGATTTATTAAGATGGTTTTAAAAAAAAATTAACAACCAGATTAGCAATCTCATCACTATCCTCAGTAATAAAGTCATCATCACGAGAAATTTTATGAATGCAGTTAATAGCACGTTTCTTATTAACCAAAGTATGAAAATATTTAGTAATTATATCACCTTCCGCCAAATGCTTGATAGCCACTTTCTATTTCCAAAAAAAATTATTCCTGAACCTGAAGCTTACAAAGCTCCACTTTAGCTTCATTCAAAAGACAATGGTTGGACATAGAGGGGTCCAATTGACAAAGATCCTCAATAGAATTAACCCTATCTTCTTTAAGTAAAATATTAGTAAAAA